GACCGGAGCCGGTAAATGCATGCGATTGCACGTCGGCGCAAATCGCTCGACCTCGGCTCGGTTTGGCTCTCGGATCGCGGCGAGCGTGTTCGCGGCACACAATAGCGCAAGAAATGCAAGTATCGGACCGGTAAACGAACGAATAGAGCATCGTACATGCGTAAAACGTCGCCGGTGCACGGGACGCGGCTAAATGGTCTGGCATGACCGACGCGCGGAAGCGTACGAGTGGAAGAGAGGGCGGCAAGAACGACAAGACAATGGACGGCGACAATAAGCTTGCGCTGCTTGCTACCGAGCGAAAATAAAATGATGCTCGACATTAGCTACCGTTGTCTAGTACTCCGCTACCTACTGCGCACGTAACTACCACGGCTCCTCGTGATTCGTGAGCCTCGGCGAATCGCGCAATTAATCCGGCCTAAGTATGTACTTAGGTCTCGCATTGAGAAATGTAAAATCGTTGGACGTTCCGACCGAGATCATACGGTTAATCATCAGATTTTACGGCGAGAAATTGTTACGAGGAATTACGCATATTTATTAGAAAATAGCAAGCGCACTTAGAATCCTATCGTATCCTCGAAACGGTGGACCACCTTCTCGGTCCACGTTCAACCCTTTAGTGGAAATTCCAATCGGGGAAGAGAAAGCGAGAAAAAGATATATGGAGGCGAACGTGCGAGTACGGAGAGCGCGTATAGAGGACCGTGTGATGGTAAACGGCGATAACGAGGCTCGAGATAAGAACCGAGGAGGCGCATCATAGCCCCTAACGCCGATCCCAGAAGAGAGAGAGAGGGAGAGTTCTCGGTTCTAGGCTCGTTGCACTGATCGCACCTCGTTTCTATCGGTGTATCCGTACGTTGGCACGCACACCGGTTCGCACGTCGTGGAATCGTTTATACACGCGGACCTGTCCGCGATTCCTGCGATGCTCGTCCACTTTTCCCACCTTAAGTACCGAGTTCGAGGATAGCTACGTTTTCCAGTCTTCAAACGATTTATGGACTCATAAGTCTTGGGACATCGTAACATTTAATCCATGGAAGATCGTGGCAGTCTAGAAACTGAATGGAATTTCTAACGGTGAAGGTCGAATTTTAATAAATGAAACGATGAGAAGCGCATTGATAAAGGTTCATAAATTGAAACGGAGTTCCGACTGGTAACAGACGATTTCGTTATTCTTGCCGAATACGAGCCGGGAGGGGAAAGGAAATTCCGAGAACGGAATTACGCAAATCAGACTGCGAGCATTCGTCCTGTCGTGGCAGAGAGTCCTCGCTATCTTTCCCCGCGGATCTCGGTTTAGGTTGGCTCGCTTTCCTCCCGGGATGCAAACGCTCGACGGCGTACGGAGAGGAGACACCGCGCGAAATTTGCAAGTCTGGCGAAAGCACGACGCGCGCACGAGACCGCACGCTCTCCGGAGCGGATCGGAGGGAGAAAAAGATCCAAGGATCGGAGAAAAAGGAACGAGAGGCAAAACGGAGAGGACACGGAGAAAGGAGAGCTAGCACATCGACGTCGGCTGCACTGGCTCGGCCACGCGGAATACTTCATCTTCGGGGAAGAAAGAATGCTGTTTTTTTGCAAGCTCCTCGTTTCGAACGACGTCGCGGAACCTTTTCTTTATCTACCGCGTGCCCTGTGTCTCCGCGAATGCTTTCCCCCGCCGCACCGTCCGAATTCGGCGTTCACCACAAATTTTCTTCTTTTAATTCGACCATCGACGAAATCGGTCCAAACGCCGACGGCCCTTTAAGAAACTCAGAGCTCCGAGGCTCGTAACTGCCCCATCCGGCCCCGAATTATATCTCCGTGTATCTTTATAGACACATTCGAACGACGCCACTACCCGTTGATTTTTATATAGTGGAGTCGTTAAATCCGTTAAAGACTAACGACGTGCCGGCTGGATAAGATTAGCCCAGCCCGTCTGTTCGAAAATTCGGAATATACTTTTCCGAGGGTTGCGCAAAACTCCAGATTCTATGTCGATCCGACTGACTCGATCTCGGCCTCAACGTTATCTTCAAACGGAATCCATTACCAATTAGAGAGCCGCAAGATAAATCTTCCGTACGAACGGATCAGGCAGTCGGTCCGCAGAAAGTCGGTGTTTTTAAGGCGGACGAAAGAGATCGGTTTCGGCTTCCCTTGGCCCGGTACCGTCGAAAAGGAGAGCAGAAGAGGGAAAGACGTTGTGCTGGGAGCCCTCAAAGCGAGCAAAGCGGTGATATTTAAAGCGTATGCAAAGAGTGCAGCTCCGTGGCCACGGCAGCCTCACCGAGGGAGGAAAGAAAGACAGAGATGGGCAAAAAGTCTCGGACAATGGCGGCTTGCGTTCGGCTGCCCGGTATCCGACTCGCGACGATTTATGCGACCTCGACAACGACGACGACGACGACGACGACGACGACGACGACGACGACGACGACGACGGTCCACCACCAGCTCCTTCTCCTCTTCCTCCTTCGCCACCTTCTCTTTCTCCCGTTCCGTTGTCTCACGCGAGCCGAGCTTCTCTCTTCATCCTCTGGAAGCCGGCCGCCACTCGAAGCGCATTCTCGGGACAAGAATCCCAGGGTTCGAAAAGCGAACGCCCGATCAAGGAGCAGACCCGATCTCGTTAGCGAGTAACTTTCAATCAGCGCGGCAACGATATATTCTTCGGAAACCAAGCAAATTCGGTCGACTCTCACGATGTTACGCAATTTGTTCTCTAGTTTCGTTCGCTACTCAGGGTAGGAATTTTGTCCGCATCGATCTCGAACCACGGGACGACACCTATCGTACGAGAGCGATCGAAAGAGCCGAGAAAACTTGGGAGCGGCCACTCGTTCCGCGGATAAGATAAGACCGGTCCGTTCTCTAGTCGAGGCGATCACGGGGATTCGATGATTCCCTCTGCCAGGTACCATAAACTCGGCCGTAAAATGAAGCGCGTTCCTCACTTTGACGCCAGATTTTATGGAAGGACCGGTACTGTCGTCCACCCGAACACGCTGCCCAATAAGGGTCCTTTGGTCTACGCTGCTTTTAACGGCTCCATCCCCCTGCTCTCCCTCCCTCCCGTTCGTTGAACGCGATTCATGTGCCCCTATAACGACCACACTGTTTTTCGTATTCCCAGAACGAGACCCACCGTCCTTATCAGAACAGGTGCTCGTAAAGCGGCAATAAGACCTTCGGACGCTTCCTCTCTCTCGTCGACGATCTGATAACGCGATTCGGTGTTCCACAATAAATACGAAATTAATGAATTCGGCGTTAATGTCCACGCAGTCGCCGGCCAATAATTATGCAAATCGCGTTCGGCTAGCTCGCAAAAACGTCTCGCGAAAACAAAGCGAGACACGGGAGAGAATCCTTGAGCCACGTTGGGAATCGTGTCGAAAACGTAGGAGGGAACAGGTGGCAGGGCGAGAGGGAAAGACTTGGTCGGTGGGAGTGCGCGCGCGAGCGAGTACGGCTTCACAAAACGAATCGCACCTGTGTCCGACGATCGCCGCCGCATCGCATCGCGTCGGCTCGTCCGACTTTAATCTGATAATCTGATTGGCTGCCGTGTGTCAAATATTGTGGGCCCGAGTGCCAGATCTCGATCTTCCGTGCGAACAGGTTCTCGTTCGGACGCGTGGCCGATTGGAAGCCGAGCTCCGAAATCGCCGCATCGATTGAACGCCGAGGACCGTCTCGGTCCCTTACGAACCTTTTACACGTAACTGTCTCGTCCTCTTTCATAATATCGATCTCACGGATAATTTTATGTGATCCTAAACTCGTCGGATCTCGTGACGATTGAAAGATTTCCATCGCCGACACTTTTCGAGTCATCGAAACATTTGCGTCGACGTTCGTCGATCGCGTGCCGGCAGCGAACGGAACGCAAGATCAGGAAAGAAGAGATCCGTTTTAAAAGCGGTGTGGAGGAGAGCGTGCCACGACCGACGCGACGAACACACTCGGGGTTCGCGCATTGATATGCAACAGGCCGCATATGCGGGCCATACCGGGCGAACAATACGACCACCGGTAAGGCACCATCGTGTAAACTATCCGGCATCGTCGGGCCTATAACGTGGAGAACCGTGCCGGTCGATACGCCACGAGACACTTTACACGGTGCATCGGGTATATGGCGCGGTGAGCGCAGGTCGTGACGCGCCGTATCTTGCATCGGGTGTACCACCAGTGTGGAAACACGGATACGTGCCTCCCTCACTCCCCTCACCTTGCAGTTCTCCCTAACCCTTCGAGAATCCCGACCAACCCACCCATCCGTCCGCGACCTTACCCCCCTTCGACCTCGTGAATTCTATTTCCGAGTTTCCGATCCACCGCCGAGTAAAGAATACGACTTCATTTCAATTAACCAGTCGTCGACGATTGGTATTTTGTTCGTCAAATGAACCTCGAGCCAAGACGAACAATCATCTGAATTTAATATCGAGAATAAGAGTTGGATAAAATTGTCGTCTTTTTATTTTTACGCTCGCGGATCGGCTACAAAGGGTTGCAAAAGCTCGGCTGGAAAGCTCGCGTTCCTCGAAGGCATCGCGCACAATAGACTCCCCCGTATGATTTACATGCGGACGGTTCTCCCGTGGACGGAACAGAGAAGGATACAGGATGCCCGGTTCAGGTTCTGCTGCCTCTTCTTATATACACGATTGCACCGTACATACACCAACGCGTGTGCCCGTTCCTCGCTACGTTCGCCGCCGTTTTCTCGTGACGCGACTATGCTAACGCGGTAACGCCGCGCGTGGAATACGTTTTCGATGCGCTCGCCGTCGCCGGCTACCAAGAGATCGCATCCTCGCTGTTTTCGAGCTGCGCCGATTAAGCAAGTATGCGGCGCGGGCTTATTCGCGCGGAAATCGACGAACAACGCGGAAGGAATACGACCGGCTGCTCGAATAGCATAATATTTTATAAAATGTATCGATACAAGCTGTTATCAAATGGAAATATCATTTTAATTGGTTTACCTGAAGACGAGGGGGACGTAGCTCCGTCCTTCACGCCACCGACGACGGTGTTTTGCGAGATGCTCTCCTTGACGGTGATGGTGTACCGCGGCCTCTCGCAACTGGCGATCCTGTGACCTGGAGAGGACACGGTGATCCTGACCTCGGCATCGAAAGCACTCTTCAGGCCAGCCGCGTCCGTCGCGGTCACGTTCAATTGATGCAACGGCGACCTGGACAGCAGGCTCGGTCTCGCGATTTGAAGCTCGCCTGTGTTACGGTCGATGTGAAATACGCCGGCCTCGTTGCCATTTGTGATTCTGTACGCGACTTGACCGAACAGTCCCGCGTCCGAGTCTGTGGCTACCAATTTTAAAATTGGTCCTTGAATCGGACCGTCGGTCTTCAAGGTAACGTTGTATCTCCTCGGTTCGAACACTGGACGGTTGTCGTTCACGTCCGTCACTTGTACCCTCACGATAGCCACGGTACTGAGACCTCCTGAAGTAGAAAAATAATTCAGATTATTAAAGATAGAATCGATCACTAATTTTCATGCATGCAATCAATCTACTGATAAAGCGTACTATGAATATGCTAGAAAAAATGATTTGTTAATCGTTTTTGCAAACGTATTTCAAGACGTTTCTCGCACTAATTCTTGGGTATCATTACGCGTAAACGAGATCGGTGGAAAGCACTGCAATGGACACGGAGACCAGAAGTGCGAAGCGATTATGTTTATTTCATTCCCAATCCTCTTATCGGGCCAAATAATGTCGGGGCATTAGCCAGCGTAGAGAACGATTCTACGGGGACGCTCGGAGCCGGTCGACATAAATCACCAGCGCGCCCATTGCCTTTTTTTCGAGCCAATCAGCTGCCTCCTTTTTCAAAGTTCATACCTTCCGTTTTTCCCTCTCGCTCTCGGCCGCGTGCACGCGTGTCGGGAAGTTTTTACCCCGGCGCGGAGGTAACGCGTCCGCTTATAATATTTTAAGCGGAAGGAATTCCTCGGGGTGTCCTAGCACATGCCTCCTGGTCGTGCTGCTTTTCGAGCAATTATACGGACGAAATCGATCGATCAATATGCCCCGGTTGCGCCGCTTTGTTCAAAACGGATCAAAAAGAATGGGAAGAGAGCTGATAATTCGTTCGCCCGTAAAAAAGTATCGCCTCCCCCCCGGAGTATCGAGCATGATATACGGTCCGACGGAAAGTAATAACGTTCCCTCGATCGCTATCCGTAAATCACCTTATTCGTCGAACACCTAATCGCGATTCCTCTTCCTTCCGTCGGGTGCAGCTGGAGCCGGTGTCTTCGCGATTAGAGGTTTAATTGATCGCGGGCGAATACGGGGTGCGAACGCGATAACGGCGGGGCTGCCGGGCTGATTTAGGCGCGCCTGGACGCGAGTGTTAATATTAAAGACAGTATGTAAAACGGGTAATCCGATGTTTAAACGGTTTACACCCGTAACTCATAGTAATATATGGACTCGGCCGCGCGGAGCTCGGAGCGCGACGAGATTTATAGGTACGAGTGTCATTGGAGTCATGCGTCAAGGGGCCAGTTCCCTTCGTTTCTCCGTCCTCTCTGCCTCTCTTCGTTCCTCGCGTTTTATACGTTCTTCCTTTTCCGACGACCGAAAAGAACGACGAAGCCCTCGGTCCCTCGACACCGTACGACTTCGAGGTATCGAAATGCCGATCTTCGGGCCCCTGCGATACTCGGCCACGCGAATTCCCTCCGAGAAATGCATCCCTAATTTCTCTATCGACTCTCTTTTCTCTTCGCCCGTGGATGTTCGCCTCCTCTGATCTTCGGAGCGGGCATTCCTCGCGCATTTCGTCCTCGCAGATCGATCAAATTAACGATCGACCGAGACCGAACGACCAAAACCGAATGCTTATGCTTCCTGGACAGTTCGTTGGGGATCAACGCTGGTATCTCTTTAGGAAAGCTTTCGAGGGAAGCCTCGTGACGAATGGAACAGGTCAGCGATGCTCTAAACGCGTTTTCCAATACGCAGGACCGACCCTTTTAATTTCACGCGGCCGATCGCCGCGCCGGTCGACGAGTCCTTTTTCGAGCCGTTCCTGCGGCGGAGGATACGGAGCCCTCGAAAGATTTATGTGCCCGCTGGTTCTCAGCGGCTCTCAACCGAACTAGTACTCGTCTAAGATCGATCCGGGTGTCGCGGTACGCGATCGAGAAGAAAAATCCGAGTTCCCTTTGAGATCTGGCCGACCGTCCTGTTTCTTGTAATCCTTTGCGCGCGAACGACTCGGAATTAATCCGGATGAGAGGAATCGTGCACGCGACGAATGCGCAAGGAACGATGATTGCCCGTGGAAGAGTTAAGAGGTAGAGATTTATGAGGCCGGTGTCAATAAAGTGACCGACGCGGCAGCGGTGTCGTTCCGGCTTTCAGGAAGTTTCAGCAACCGTGGGCCGCGCCTTTCTTCGCGTTCCTCTCTCGCTGATCCGCGAAACGTGCATCAAGATGCGTGGCTCAAGTGTATTCCGCATGTGCACCACGTAATACACAATTTCCAGAAAGCAGATAACATCCGTAGGAACCGGCCTCGCTTTCGTCAAGATCGCGCGGTACCCAAATCTGCTGATGTTATCCGCTCGGTCGCATTGTCCGTGCATACGACGTTTCAAACGGCGAATGGGATACAGTCGCCGGAGAAAGTTTATGCAAGTCGCTAGTCAAAAATCTGATTGGACGTTGCCCGATCTGAGCGGAACAGATGCGTTCGGAGTCGGCAGTCAGGCTTCCTCCTTGGCTTTAATCCGTTATTGGAAGCGGGTTCCCGGCAACCCCCGAGGTGCCGGCATCTAGCAGCGGCTCGTCCGCTCCTACGTCTTAGGACAAAGCGACTCGTACAAGGAAGTGCATGCACGCGCAGATCTCCGGCACGATTCAAAGCGGGACCACTCGCGGGTAATAATTATCGGCTTACCACTGCCGTTATCCACCGCCATTAACACGATAATGCGCCGTGTTTCGATTATCGTTGCCTTATTGTACCAGATGCCTATCGGACCTGTGCCGTGGATCTTGAACGACTGGTTCGACTCGCGGATATGCACGTTATCAGGCAAGAGTAAAAGCATAAACGAAAAGTGTACAGAGAGAACGTTTCTACCAGTTGTTCATTCATACTTCGTAAATCGAGAACAGATTTCTGTCTAACTTGTTTCTGGATGACACGTCGATTTCGAAGTCAGTGATCGCGACGCATCGCGGAGATAACAGCGTAGTCCGAGCGCGTTGGCTCTCCGCTGCGAGTCGTCAGCAGGTGGTATAAATCACGCGAAGCGGAATCGCGCGGTGCAACTGGCGTGGCGCTCGGTCGTGCCGTCATATCCGAAGCGGTACTACTATTGTACCCGATGGTGTCGGCCGAGTCTGGTAGCACGCCGAACAATCGTATCGATAACGAGCGACAATTATGGACGGGGAGTTCTCCTGTTTGCAAAACGGTATGCGGCCAACAATAGGACTCGCTTCCTTCGTCTTCTCTCTTCGCCTCCTTCCGCCTCCTCGCTTCCTAATTTCCCTATTCATTTTCACAAGGTATAAATCGGCATTTAAACGGAAATAGTCCGGCGTTCCGAGCTCGGCCTCTAATTTCCGTATCAGTTCCACCCACCCCCGACGATTAGTGGCTCTCCTCGTTTCCTCCCACTTAAACTCGAACGATCGATGAACCTGCTACCTGTTGCGAGTCGCAAGGTCAATGCCGGTCTTCTCCCGACGGATCAATGGACCTTCAGTCATTGTCCTCGCTCGTAAGGGCAGCTCGGACGGAGGCCGTTGAAAATGGGCACACCGGCGTACACCCGGCGACATAAATCATACACCCCATTACAGAGCTGCTAGATCTTGGCACGGCGATAGCTCGTTCCTTTCCCTCCTTGCGAACGCGACTCCCGTTGCCGCATCTTTTCTCCGTGGGTGCCACGTTTCCACCGTGTTGTCGCCACCACGCCACGTTTCGCTTTCTTCTTCTCGTCCTCGTCCCACCTATTCGCGCACAGCTTTAGGTGCCACGATACCACCGAGGAAAACCATTGTTCCCGCGGTCTTCCTCTCCCATTTTGGTCACGGAAGATTCGTTACGGTACGCCAGCGCGCTAATCGATCGGCGTTAGATCACAAATTCTCCTTACAAGCCTTTTCTCTTATATCAACGGAAATAAACGCTGCTTCCCTCCGTCCATTCTTTCCTCACCGACTCACACGTATAAAACCCGACGACATACGTGATATTCCTTTAATGGACATGAAAAAGTCCTCTTAAGAATCGCTTGGAATTAATAAACTGGAACTATAGTGCGATGATGAATTTGCAATTATTGTAAGAAAATTTTGCAAAAAGATTCTAATGTTAGCAAATTTGACGGAATGTACGGAGCAAAGATTTCGACTGGATCTACACTGTCTGAATTCGGTTCCCTCGAAACTTTCACGGTAAGGTGCGGCGCGATTTCAATTTGACGCAATCTCGAGGCGATCGTTTCCAATAATTGCGTTGGGAACACGCGATTGCACATACCTCTGTCGGTCGCGATGACGGGAATCTCTAGATAGGGTGCGGTTTCTCTGTCCAACGGTGTTCTGACGCAAATGTCTCCGGTATCGCTGCGCACCATCAGCTGTTCGCTTTCCATTCTTCCCGCGGCCAACGTGTAATTTACCATCGCGTTCACGCCGCAGTCCGGGTCCGTCGCTTGTACCTGAAACGATAGGTCGTGGTCAAATTAATTGCGTGCCAACGAGCCGTTGCGACATTGCTTATCCGTATACAATAGATTTTATACATCCGAAGACAGGTTCATACGTATTCATGGAAAGCTCGTACACGTAAAGTGTCTTAAAAGTGCAAAGTGCACCGAACATAAAAGAACAGATGGATATGATATACAGCACAGGTTTCGCTGTACTTCTTAATAACGAGTTGAAGTTTGATCTCATCAGGCGCGATTGCAACCATGATCGATTGCTTTGTCGCTACCAATCGGTCATACAGATTTTTCTCAAACGAGGACCGCGTACATCGTACACAAGTCTCGTAATTAAGCGTTGAAAGCACTCGGGGAATTTTATCCGAGCGAACGCGTGCGCTTTTCCACGACGTGCATGCGTACGGGCAACCTGAGTAGGAGAGAGAGAGAGAGACAGAGAGAGAGAGAGAGAAAGAGAGCGCGTCCGGACGAGAAGGAGGAAGAGAGGCGAGGTCCCATCGAGGCATCGAGGAAGGCGAAGAAAGACAAAAAGGAAGCGACGAAGGCTCGAGCCAAAGCGAGAGAGACAGTAGATAATAAAGCAGGAGTCCGCGAAGAATGATTTAGTGGCAGCCGGTCGAATAACTTTCCCGCCAACACTGTTGAAGAGGCATTGCGAGAAGTCTCTGCGGCTCGCCGAGCAACACGAGTACGACGAAAAGGTTAAAGACTCGAAAAAGAAGATGAAAACCGAAAGAAACCGACCAGCGCGACCAAATAAATAGCTGCCGATCCATTTTAAGAAGCTGTTTCGAAAACTCCCTGTCGAGTTCACAGGCATGTATCATTACAATATTGGAACGTCACACGACGCTCGGTACTTTTAATAGAATCGTGTACGAAACGGAGCAATGATTATGTTTAAGATATCGTCATTAAGGAATTGTGCGCTGGTAACGGGCAGCCATTCACTTTTTAATTTCTTAAGACGTCTTCGTTAATCCCTCGCGTTAGTTACCGCTTAATCCACTAGACGTTACCCATTCGGTAGGCCACCATTTATGATGTTATCGAACGCATTCGCTGTTCAGTGAATTATTAAAGCGAACGCGTGATACGTCCAGCCAGATATCTTGTTACTGCTGAACGATGTTCGCGATTTCCCTGCTAATCTTATAACGCACGACTGGCGACGATAGTTTCACTTTCTATCGGCATCGACAGATTAACTCTTTCCTATTCGTTTATTTAAACATAAACAGAGCAGGCTGTTAGTTCCGCGGCAGCGTCGTCGTACCGTACCACACCCGTGACGCATCTGCATAATTTTCCAATTTAGATTTGCATTTCTAAATTGCATTCTCGCGTCAACGAGTCCGCGATAGCTATCAGATAATCCGGCGAACTCGTCGCGAATTATTGTTCTTTTGTTACCAGCACCTTCGGCTACTTAAACACTGATCCAGTAGTTTAGCCGGATCGCGTCGAGTCGAAACGAAACGAAGCATAGCTCGTACGTTCTCATTAGTCAGTACGTAAAATTCTAATAAAGAGAGAACCTGTCGTATCGGCGCATAAATTATACGTTGCACGGAGAGGGTTGTATCGGTACTCGTTTTGTCGTGTCACAAGATAAAAGGTGAAAACTGCGGTTTGAATTTTCATTCGATTAATTTCGCAGCGAAAGAACGCTCGAGCAGTGGAACACGAGGGACGGGGAGAAAGAGTCGTATTGAATCGCGAGCAGTTTTACCTGTTATTCTCGTGGCACGGCGAATGTATACCAGAGAGCCAGATGCATTGTCCAGGTGGTTTTGTTGCGCGCCGACCTTGCCGGGAATATCGATTTCAATCGGGGTGTATACGGAATACAATCCTCCGTGGGTTTCCTTCGAAAAGGCCGGGAGAGCGCACCGCGCATAGCTCGCTGAATACCAGCGTGCACCAAACCGAATACCTTGCACCTCTCGCTCGCGATTCCGCGAGGGCTTCGCCTATTTTCAAAAACGTTACTACAAAGGCTCCATCGAATCTCCAATTCTACTCGGGTGATTTGCACAAGGAAAAGTGCCGCGGTTTTGTCAAAGGGATTTTAACGCGGTCTGGTAGCTGTGTAAACGCGACACGAATTTTTGTTACACGTTCCACGTACAATTGTTCATTCCATTTTAAAGATAGCCTGTGTTAAATTTTACATTTGAATCCATAGAATTTTCTAGTGAACCAGAATCGGCGACGAAGCAGCGAAGCGAGGGCGTCGCGCCGTCGTGGTGGCCGAGCGTGGTCAGTCGGATCCCACGTTCCCGGGTACTAGAGGGACGAGCGCAAACCCTTGGTACGTACAAGAACAGCGACAGAGGTAACTGAGCAACGTCTATACGTGCGGTGGCTGTCTACACCGGTTATAAAATACGGTGCCTCGGAAGTCTCTGAGCGTGCTCGCGCCTGCGAGGACGGGGCACCGGATCACCCCTTTTGGTCTTTACCTCCACCTCCTCGTTCGAGCCTCGCCACCTTCGTTCTCTTTTTCTGTATCAATTTCGCCCACTCGGGCCGTCGATTCGAATTGAAAAATCGTATTTCAATTAATAACTGGAATATCGTGATTGCGATCTCGAATCGCGTATCTCCAAGTAGTACGAGGAGTCGAATTCTGAGCGTTTGATAGGACGTGCGAAAAGGCTGGCTGCGCGACACCGCGTTCACAGGTACAAATTGTCCGGCTGCTAAAGTTATCGCCGTAAATCGCTGCATGACTCGGCGGACCGCATCTGGTATGTCGAGTTTTACGCGACGACGCGCCAACGATGACGACATACCTCGACACCACCGCGAGCCGTGCTGCGGATAGATGGACCTACGATTTGCTATTTTTCCTCAGGTACAGTGGCAAGCGCGTGGCGATAATTGTACACGCGTTTCTCCCGTATGTATGTATGTACACATATAAATTTATTTTTCAATAGGCGAAGAATTTATAGTACTGTTCACTGGCCTCGCATCTATCCTCGATACACACGTAAATGTATAATTAATATTTCTTTCTAAATCGTAATTACCGCGGCCGAGAGAAAGCGATTAGGTTTTGACGGGAGGCGAGGAAAAAACACAGTCTACCCGGTAGACGTTCGCGTGTATGAAGTAATTATCGCGGGAAATGATGAAGTTTCGTTCGCATAGATTCATACGTAGGTATGAAGCGGTCGAGAAGGGCCTATTACGAGGCCGCAATCGATCTCCCGCGTAATTGCTAGACCGGTTTGCTCTACGTTCGCGATCAGTGTGCCACAGTTAAACGCAGCCCGTTTTAAATTCTCCTCGCGCCGCTGTGCAACTTGTAACGTCTGTTTCGATCCATCCGTTTTATAGTTCAATCGCGGTCCTGTTCGTCTCGATGGGCGATCGATACACCCTGTCGCGTAAGACGTTATCACCGCGTAAACTCGTAATTTTTATTGACTGAAACCAGCGGGGACTTAATTAATGCCAAGCGTTTCGCTCGGTTAACATCGCCGCGGTTAGAGGGAGATTCTTTAATATTGTATGAAATTCCTGTACATTAAGTTTACCGAAAGGCCGCGCATTCCCCGGGGTCAACGGTGCCGCGGCGGCGGCGCAGGCATTCGCCGCGCGTACGCACGCGCGCTACACGATGCACACGATATTTCATATGATTATCCTTCGCATCGTTGGGTCACTAAATCATCCCCGAAGGCAGTAGTATCTTCCTTTGAACGGCTCGTATAATCCTTCACGGCGATCCATAAAACCGAAACGAACTGGAGCGATCGTCGCTAAGTAGCTACGAGCTCTATTCGCTTGGAGAAACGCTCGATGAGCTCGCACCTCGTATGCAATTTATTTCATCCCCGCGTAAAAGTACCGCTAATGAGCCGGGAAAACTAATGAACGAGCTGCTAATATCTCGTGCTTACGTTTGACTAATTAACGCCGCTCGTAGCTACGCTCTTAAACGCGGGCCACGTTGGATTCACTGAATTCTATTCAATTTGATGGAATTATACAATGAACATTATGTCGTTCCCATAGTAGGTTTACACTTATCTTCGTGATTCATGCACCGCCTTCATTATCATTCGTCTAAAGAGAGATACAGGGTTTCTCAAGTCGCACGATAATTTGGCAAGTCGAAAGATTTGTCCAATCGCGAAATAAACGTGCAGAGTTCTTCGTCGTTCCAACTACCACCTTTCTGGACAGGAGCGGAGGGTTTTTCTTGGATCGGTCGGGTCCTACGACCCAACCCCCTGCCGTCGCCGCGGCGATGCTTTCCGTTGGTCGTGCGTGCGACCACGCGGCCCGCTGCTTTTTGCCCGCTCGTGCTCGACAGATAGAGCTGTTCGTTGAGTAAGCCGGGAAGCCATCCTCGGTATTCCCGGCTCGCAGCCTCTCTGATGGACTGACAGTCATCCACCGCTGCCACCACCGAGTATTCCCCGCGATCCTTTCGCTCTTACTTCCTATCTGCGCGTTCTTTCGGGTCCCAGGGATTCACGGCGACTTCGACCCAGTCGCTCGGCTCAGCTCAATTTTACCCGTGGCATCGAAAGAGAAAACGAATTTGCTCATTGTTTCGATCAATGGAATTTTTATTGTTAAAATTTAGGCATCTAAGAACGACGTTTGAAGGGATCGATGTTCGATGCGAGGGTGAAACGAATGGTAAGTGCATCGGGTTAGGAATTCCAGGAAACACTCGTTCACGCAGTGTTTTTATCTGTCGCGGGCGCATTTAAAATTCCTGTCATTTGCACATAAGAGCGCCTAATTGCGCGACCACGCGATGCAAAGGTCCGAGGCGCACGCGAGGCTCGCCCGGCTATCTGACTGAGTGCCTACTACCATACCATACTACATACTATAATACCGTGCGAGGGGGAGAAAGCTCGAGGACGAACCGGAAGTTTCGTGGGTGGACTGGCGGCCGCGGACCACGATCCTTTGTCACGCGAATTGACATGCAGGAACGACGCTCGGGTACCCGTCACGTG